TGGCCCAGGACGCCATCATGATGGCCCAGGACGCCATCATGATGGTCCAGGACGCCATCATGATGGCCCAGGACGCCATCATGATGGCCCAGGACGCCATCATGATGGTCCAGGACGCCATCATGATGGCCCAGGACGCCATCATGATTATCCAGGACGCCATCAAAATGGTCCAGGACGCCATCATGATGGCCCAGGACGCCAACAAGATGGCCAGGAAGCCAACAAGATGGCCGGGACGCCAACAAGATGGCCAGGACGCCAACAAGATGGCCAGGACGCCAACAGGATGACTAGGACGCCAACAAGATGGCCAGGACACCAACAAGATGGCCAGGCCGCCATCATGATGGCCCAGGACGCCAACAAGATGGCCCAGGACGCCATCATGATGGTCCAGGACGCCATCATGATGGTCCAGGACGCCATCATGATGGTCCAGGACGCCATCATGATGGTCCAGGACGCCATCATGATGGTCCAGGACACCATCATGAAGGTGCAGGATGCCATCATGATGGCCAGGGCGCCATCATGATGGCCCAGGACACCATCATGATGATCCAGGACGCCATCAAAATGGCCCAGGACGCCATCATGATGGTCCAGGACGCGATCATGGTGGCAAGGATGCCAGCAAGATGGCCATTACGCTAACGTTTACTAGGACGCCAAAAAGATGGCCAGGACGCCAACAAGACGGCCAGGACGCCAACAAGATGGTTCAGGACGCCATGATGACGGTCCAGGAAGCCAACAAGATGGCCCAGGACGCACAATGCACAATGACAGCCCCTTTCAAAGCTGGAGAAATTGCTGACCTGGAGAGCGTGCAGAGATCCTTTACTGCTAGAATCCACTCAGTAAAACATCTAAACTACTGGGACCGACTAAAGAGCCTAAAACTGTACTTCCTTGAGCGCAGGCGGGAGAGATACATAATAATTTACACGTGGAAAATATTAGAGGGGCTGGTCCCGAACCTGCACACAGAAATAACATCACATGAGACCAGAAGACATGGCAGGATGTGCAGAATACCCCCGTTGAAAAACAGAGGTGCAACAGGTACTCTGAGAGAGAACTATCAACATCAGAGGTCCGAGACTGTTCAACACGCTTCCACTACACATAAGGGGCATAACTGGCCGACCCCTCACAGTGTTCAAGAGAGAACTGGATAAGCACCTCCAAAGGATACCTGATCAACCAGGCTGTGACTCATACGTCAGGCTGCGAGCAGCCGCGTCCAACAGCCTGATTGATCAGTCCGGCAACCAGGAGGCCTGGTCGACGACCGGGCCGCGGGGACACTAAGCCCCGGAAGCACCTCAAGGTAGGTAGGTAGGTAGCCATCATGATGGTCCAGGACGCCATCAAAATGGCCCAGGACGCCATCATGATGGTCCAGGACGCCATCATGATGGCCAGGACGCCAGCAAGATGGCCCAGGACGCCATCATGATGATCCAGGACGCCATCAAAATGGCCCAGGACGCCATCATGATGGTCCAGGACGCCATCATGATGGCCAGGACGCCAGCAAGATGGCCATTACGCTAACAGGATGAATAGGACGCCAAAAAGATGGCCAGGACGCCAACAAGACGGCCAGGACGCCATCATGATGTCCCAGGACGCCATCATGATGGCCCAGGAAACCATCATGATGGTCCAGGACGCCATCATGATGGCCTAAGGACGCCATCATGATGGTCCAGGACGCCATCATGATGGCCAGGACGCCAGCAAGATGGCCAGGACGCCAACAAGATGGCCAAGACGCCAACAAGATGGTTCAGGACGCCATCATGATGATCCAGGACGCCATCATGATGGCCAGGACGCCAGCAAGATGGCCAGGACGCCAACAAGATGGTTTAGGACGCAATCATGATGATCCAGGACGCCAACAAGATGCCCCGGGACGCCAACAAGATGGCCCAGGACGCCATCATGATGGTCCAGGACGCAATCATGATGGTCCAGGACGCCATCATGATGGCCCAGGAAACCATCATGATGGTCCAGGACGCCAACAAGATGGCCCAGGACGCCATCATGATGGTCCAGGACGCAATCATGATGGTCCAGGACGCCATCATGATGGCTCAGGAAACCATAATGATGGTCCAGGACGCCAACAAGATGGCCAGGACGCCAACAAGATGGCCAGGACTCCAACAAGATGGCCAAGACGCCACCAAGATGGCCAAGACGCCAACAAGATGGCCCAGGACGCCAACATGATGGTCCAAGACGCCATCATGATGGCCCAGGACGCCATCATGATGGCCCAGGACGACATCATGATGGTCCAGGACGCCAACAAGATGGCCAGGACGCCAACAAGATGGCCAGGACGCCAACAAGATGGCCAGGACGCCAACAAGATGGCCCAGGACGCTAACAAGATGGCCAGGACGCCAACAAGATGGCCAGGACACCAACAAGATGGCCAGGACGCCAACAAGATGGCCAGGACGCCAACAAGATGGCCAGGACGCCAACAAAATGGCCAGGACGCCAACAAGATGGTCAGGACGCCAACAAGATGGCCAGGACGCCAACAAGATGGCCAGGACGCCAACAAGATGGCCAGGACGCCAACAAGATGGCCAGGACGCCAACAAGATGGCCAGGACGCCAACAAGATGGCCAGGATGCCAACAAGATGGCCAGGACGCCAACAAGATGGCCAGGACGCCAACAAGATGGCCAGGACGCCAACAAGATGGCCAGGATGCCAACAAGATTGCCAGGACGCCAACAAGATGGCCAGGACGCCAACAACATGGACAGGACGCCAACAAGATGGCCAGGACGCCAACAAGATGGCCCAAGACTCCACCAAGATGGTCTGGACGCCAACAAGATGGCCAGGACGCCAACAAGATGGCCAGGACGCCAACAAGATGGCCAGGATGCCAACAAGATGGCCAGGACGCCAACAAGATGGTCAGGACGCCAACAAGATGGCCAGGACGCCAACAAGATGGCCAGGACGCCAACAAGATGGCCCAAGACTCCACCAAGATGGTCTGGACGCCAACAAGATGGCCAGGACGCCAACAAGATGGCCAGGACGCCAACAAGATGGCCAGGACGCCAACAAGATGGCCAAGACGCCAACAAGATCTTCATATGATGGGTTGTAACTCATCAAAGGATGTTACTACGGTCGTCCACATAGAGCGTGCAGTATGTAGCTTGATGGTGTGTTGTCTACATGTGGGGGACGTTGATAGCTGTGAACCCCAAACACAGCGTCTCCTCCTCCTCCGAGGAGCTTAACTTGACATGTGACGTAAGGGCCTAAATCTTAAGCTCCTCCCCCCCCCTGCGCCCCCCCCCCCCCCCCACCCCCTGTAGTGGTAATGGACCTAAACAAACTAACAATCGTTCACATACGGGGTTTTCCTCCCTTTCCGTGTTATATGATTCTCATTTGTTTTGGTCTGTTTCTACATACATTTGTGTCTCATTACACCACCTGTCGAACCCTGGGTTGATGTGCCTCCCGCCTAGCCATTAAGACTACCTGTGGAGGGTCGGGATAGGGTTATGGGGACGGGACGGGAGGAAAGGAATGGTGCCTAACCACTTGTGGATGGTCGGGGATTGAACGCCGACCTGCATGAAGCGAGCCCGTCGCTCTACCGCCCAGCCCATGTTGGGGAAGGGGGTGAAGGCAAGGGATTATCATGATGGCGTCCTGGACCATCATGATGGCGTCCAGGACCATCATGATGGTGTCCTGGACCCTCATGATGGCGTCCTGGACCATCATGATGGCGTCCTGGACCATCATGATGGCGTCCTGGACCATCATGATGGCGTCCTGGACCATCATGATGGCGTCCTGGACCATCATGATGCCGTCCTGGACCATCATGATGGCGTCCTGGACCATCATGATGGCGTCCTGGACCATCATGATGGCGTCCTGGACCATCATGATGGCGTCCTGGACCATCATGATGGCGTCCTGGACCATCATGATGGCGTCCTGGACCATCATGATGGTGTCCTGGACCATCATGATGGCGTCCTGGACCATCATGATGGCGTCCTGGACCATCATGATGGCGTCCTGGACCATCATGATGGCGTCCTGGACCATCATGATGGCGTCCTGGACCATCATGATGGCGTCCTGGACCATCATGATGGCGTCCTGGACCATCAGATAATTTACCTCGCCAGCACCACCATGGCAGAGCGACGGTCTCGCTTCATGCAGGTCGGCGTTCAATCCCCGACCGTCCAAGGGGTTGGGCACCATTCCTTCCCCCACCGTCCCATCCCAAATCCTTACCCAGATCCCTTCCCAGTGCCACAGTGTCGTAAGGGCTTGCGCGCACACATCAACTCGGGAGAGGTGCGTAATAACACACTTGTAACAAGCCCGAGAATAATGTAGAAACACAACCAACATGAGAATCACACATTAAGAAAAAGGGGAATAAAAATAAAAATAAAATAAAATCTTCAACCCCCCCCCCCCCCCCCCCCTCTCTCCTCCTTTCCGTGTGGTCGTGTGGGAAAGCGTCAATGGTAGTTCAGTGGCCTATCAAAATTTTAATTTTTTCCACGGCCGTATTAATGTTTTGTTGGGGACCTTCTATGGTGATCTCGTTTTTAAGATCGCCCTTATCAGGCACGTGGAGTTTTACCTTACACTACCTTTCAATAAGTTTTAAAAACCGTTATTTGCGACCAATTAGTTTTGTCCGGTCTTCAACGGGGAAATATATGGACTGGATAACGTTGTCCAGTCCGGATTCATCGCCGAGGGGAGTGTCAAAGGTTCCAGACTCTGGGTTTTCTTCGGAGGCATAGTTGGTTAGCAACTTTATCCTTTCCAAAGTTTTTTCTACGTTGGGAAGTGAGCCCTCTACGGTGACGTCTCCGTCTAGTTACTCCTTGGGTGGGACCATAATCACAACGTTGAATTCCATCTATAATTTTCGATGAATTCCCCCTTTCTTCCCCACTACTTACGACCGTTTAGAGGCGGGGACGGGAATACACCTTACTACATTGCTGTGGTCTGTGTCCTCGATGACGGGGTCGCCGCCCTGGGTGTCCTCAGACATCAGGTCGCCGCCCTGGGTGTCCTCAGACATCAGGTCGCCACCCTGGGTGTCCTCAGACATCAGGTCGCCGCCCTGGGTGTCCTCAGACATCAGGTCGCCGCCCTGGGTGTCCTCAGACATCAGGTCGCCGCTCTGGGTGTCCTCAGACATCAGGTCGCCACCCTGGGTGTCCTCAGACATCAGGTCGCCACCCTGGGTGTCCTCAGACATCAGGTCGCCACCCTGGGTGTCCTCAGACATCAGGTCGCCGCCCAGGGTGTCCTCAGACATCAGGTCGCCACCCTGGGTGTCCTCAGACATCAGGTCGTCGCCCTGGGTGTCCTCAGACATCAGGTCGCCACCCTGGGTGTCCTCAGACATCAGGTCGTCGCCCTGGGTGTCCTCAGACATCAGGTCGCCACCCTGGGTGTCCTCAGACATCAGGTCGTCGCCCTGGGTGTCCTCAGACATCAGGTCGCCGCCCTGGGTGTCCTCAGACATCAGGTCGCCACCCTGGGTGTCCTCAGACATCAGGTCGCCACCCTGGGTGTCCTCAGACATCAGGTCGCCGCCCAGGGTGTCCTCAGACATCAGGTCGCCACCCTGGGTGTCCTCAGACATCAGGTCGTCGCCCTGGGTGTCCTCAGACATCAGGTCGCCGCCCTGGGTGTCCTCAGACATCAGGTCGCCACCCTGGGTGTCCTCAGACATCAGGTCGCCACCCTGGGTGTCCTCAGACATCAGGTCGCCGCCCAGGGTGTCCTCAGACATCATGTCGCCACCCTGGGTGTCCTCAGACATCAGGTCGTCGCCCTGGGTGTCCTCAGACATCAGGTCGCCACCCTGGGTGTCCTCAGACATCAGGTCGCCACCCTGGGTGTCCTCAGACATCAGGTCGTCGCCCTGGGTGTCCTCAGACATCAGGTCGCCACCCTGGGTGTCCTCAGACATCAGGTCGCCGCCCTGGGTGTCCTCAGACATCAGGTCGCCACCCTGGGTGTCCTCAGACATCAGGTCGCCACCCTGGGTGTCCTCAGACATCAGGTCGCCACCCTGGGTGTCCTCAGACATCAGGTCGTCGCCCTGGGTGTCCTCAGACATCAGGTCGCCACCCTGGGTGTCCTCAGACATCAGGTCGCCGCCCTGGGTGTCCTCAGACATCAGGTCGCCACCCTGGGTGTCCTCAGACATCAGGTCGCCGCCCTGGGTGTCCTCAGACATCAGGTCGTCGCCCTGGATGTCCTCCTCAGACATCAGGTCGCCGCCCTGGTTGTCCTCCTCAGACATCAGGTCGCCGCCCTGGTTGTCCTCCTCAGACATCAGGTCGCCGCCCTGGATGTCCTCCTCAGACATCAGGTCGCCGCCCTGGGTCTCGCCCTCGATCAGGGTAAGCATCTAGACTTGGTCATGGCTCTAGCGCACGTTTCTGAACTTAGTGAATTTCAATAAGCTCCAGAAACACAAGCCAATGAGAGCCAAACTGACCCCAACACCACAGAGCAGCCAAGGAGAAGTTTCTCCTATTAACTCCCACAACAACACAAGGTAATCCCTTATCGAAATCATTTTTCTCCAAGCCAAGTTAGATTTTATCGTCAATGAATTCAGTAAAATAAGTAACTTAATTAAGAAAATATTTTATTTACAATATATAGCAACGTTGGAATCATTCGTTAAAAAAAGTGGAGGTTTTGTGTCTCACTGCAGTAATCAGGGATTACTAATTACTTAACCTTATCTAGTAGGACGATGTTTGGCCCGAGGAAGACTGTACGTCAAAATACGACCTGCTATTAAGAAGTCGGGTTATTGGACTTGTAACCCGTGGTTACAGTGTGGTTAATATACAATTTCAAAACCACATACTCTATAAGAGGGGTCACTATAGGAGCCGAATCGCCTTAAAGAGGTGCAATGGGGCTGACCCCCAGTCCATCTACGTGAATATTCCCCTCCACCTCCACCCACCCTATGTAACAGTGCAAGTATTTTGCACTCTTTCATGTATAATTGTGAGTTGTAATTGTGTGTGTGTGTGTGTGTGTGTGTGTGTGCGTGCGTGTGGGTGTGTGTTGGTGAGGAGGCTGCGGTAGTGGAGGAGTGGACCGGCCTGGCTAGTCCTATTGAACAAAGAAGCCCTGTTCTGGCTTGCGAGAGTACCCACCCTGGCTCGGCCAGAGAGATGGGTGGTAGTTTTCAGTTAGCGACCGCCTTACAGAGAGAGAAGGTGACCAGCCAGTCTTCCTCACCCTGACAGGTGACACTCCAGGCACCCTCAGGGTGTATCCGTCTGAGTTGTGAGGTAAGAGTGTCAGTAATGCGTTGTCTTGATTGGGTGTCTTAGTGGTGACGAGCTGAACCATTTAGCCATGTATGGTGTGGGCGTGTATGGAGTGGGTGATCCCCCCCCTTTTTTAATTTGGTCAATATTGTGTTAAATAATAAAATGTCAGTGTTAAATATCAATTGCTGGAATTTGGAACAATGAAATAATTTGGTAATAAACATCTATGTGTAGAATAACAAACTTGACTTTTGTTCAGTCCTCTTTTTGAATCAATGTCCCCACAAGTAAGAGTTAAGGCTAGAGAGATATCTTGATGAACACGTGAGAGATAACTAAAATAAGCAGTGTTCCTGTCGCATTGTTTAAGTGGAAGTGCATTTAGATTCAATGACAGGTGGTGGCAGCAAACTTCAGAACATCTTAGAGTAATAACATCATAGAGTATAGATAGAATAAAATCAGTCTACTCTCCCCTTTCTTCTTATTCCTCCTACATCACTCTACTCCTCCTCCTTCATTCTCTCCCTCCTGCCTCCCCTCCCTCCGTTCGCTCCCCGTTTTCTATTCCCGATCGCCTTCTCTCTCTACCTCAGTTTCTGCGCTCGCCCCTCCCCCATGTTCTATCTACCCATCCCCTCTTTCCTCCTCTCCTCCTTCTACCTTTACTTCACTTATACCAATTTCACGAACATCCTCCCCCCCCCCGTTACAATGGTGGCAGCGGTGGGATATTAATTATCCTCGACTCACGTGTCTTGAGCTCGGACCAGCTACTAGTAGAGAAACTTAGTGACTTGAATATTGGCGATTTTCGCGATTTTAATTTGGCGAGTTTTACATTGGCGATTTTCATTTCAATTCGCGAGTTTGGCGATTTTGTTAACATCACGTGTGCCATACATTAAAATGTAGAGTAATTTTCATTGAAATTAAAGAATCATTATAAGTTTTGGTTAAACTTAGTGGTAATTTTGAGATTATCATTCTGTAAGAGGCTGCTTGTGTATGAAGCAGTCTAGTGAGGCGGTGTTGGTGACACTGGCCTTGCTGTGTATACTAGTGTATATAATTAAGTGTAGGGAATAAGCGTAGGACTAAGCGGGCTCGCGATTTCGTTGCTCGGAGCCACACGTATTTTAAGTGTTATGATTAGTGGGACATACGGGAAACTAGAGAAAGTTTGGGGTATGCGCTTCGCTCTGAAATCTATGGACAGAAATTAGTTCTCGTTTCTCTTCATAGCTTCCAGGGGTGTACAACCCAGTTATAGGTTGTACAGCAATCTGTTCGGCAGGTTGTCTGGGAAATTATCAGTGAAGGACGCTTACTGATACATTTCTGAGGTACATGGAGTTGCCTCGAGTTCTAGATCTTAACGATAAGGCCGCAGACGGTGCTTCGTCACCTAGAGTGTAGCTGAGTTATCATCATAGAGGGGGTCATGTTGGCAGCGAGACTGACCTCAAACATTCTGGTCGTGAATTGTGTCTTAGGGAGGACGGCTGCTAGTGTTGGATGTTTTTCCCCAAGGGCGGGGCAGACGTAGTTAGCAGGCGTAGCTTACCCAGGAACAATCGTAGATTTAATCACCACGAGAGTTAATCTTAAAGTGAATTAGAATAGTCCCTAGATTAAGTATCTAGCATTAGCAACCTAGAAATTAAATGTCAGGCTAAGATTTTTCATAGTGTAAGGGATTTATTGTGTATTTTGTTAAATGTGGGAGAAGTTCAGAGCTACAGGTGTAGCTTTTGTGGAGTTAATTTTCATTATTGTAGAGGTGACCCACGTGTTACAACAATAGTACAGTAATTCACCTGGAACTGTCGTCGTAGGGAGAGGAAGGGCTGGTAGGGTAGGTGGAGCAAGTCTTGGCTCCTCAGGAAGGGTAGGACAGAGGGAATCAATGCCTCTTAGGGGTCCTATGGGCACATATCCTAAGTGCCAGTGGTGCCGGGCAGGCGTCGTCCGCGTTGGGTCACATGCAGTTCAAATCTGGCCCACTCGGCCTGCGCGGGCTGCCGCGCGGGTAGGCCGTGCGCCGTCGTCGTCCACCAATCAGGGCACAGCCCTGCCTATACTGTAAAATGTCTCCTTGGCGGGCACTTTGAATGTGGTTCCCATGCAATGTTGAAACAGTTCGTGTATAGTGCAAAGACAATACGGGTAATAATTGTAATAGGACCCATTCATGAAAATAGACTTTTTTACAAAAAAGACATGTTGTATATAGTGAAACGTTTTCCCTCCAACATACCCGTTGTTCTATAGGGACGGGAGGAGTGTAGAGGCCAGGGATTACAGGACAAGACTCTGGCAGAATACATTGCCAATGCAAGAAATTCGTCAATGGAAGAGGCCATCGACCGGGCCCAAACCTTCCAGCACAATGCCGTAGCAATCCACGGCTCCGCAAGTTCAAGCAGGCACGACTCCCACCGCCGCGGGTCCCAGGGGCCAGCAGTAAGAGTGAATGCAGTGGGCAGGTACTCTCGGTATGAGCAACCACCCAGGAGTAAGGACGCTTCTCGGCGCTCGACACCAGGTGCCTCGCCGGCTACCAGTCCCGAAGGCCGTGGAACCGGTACTCACCACCCGTCGAGTGCAGGCTCGGGTCCTTCATCTTCCATGGACACGGAGGCGAAATTGGACGTCTTGGTAGCAGGTGTCTCAGAACTCAGCGGGAAATTGGATCAGGTGTGTGAGAGTTTGAGGCGTCTCACAATGGCCATCATATCGCCGAATTTTCGTCGTTCCCCATCTCCCAGGCGATCGCTGCAGTGTTTCAGATGTAGGAAAGAGGGTCACGTGGCTCGGGAATGTCTGGAACCGGGAAGTGATGGGGAGGGAAGCCGCCGGCTCAGGGACCCCCTGGGCAACAAGCTGCGCGTTTCATTTGAGGACGAGAAAGAGTCTTTAAACACGGATGGGTCGGTCCAGTCGGCCTAACTCCGACCCAATGTACAACAGGCCTAGAAAGGGAGAGCACGATAGGGGCGGGCCAAGGGACGTCGGCCACGGAAGAGCAGGACGGGGGAAGAGATCACATAACCATCAGACAGCTCAGATCCGGCTCTATGTTTTGGATCCCAGTCCAGATCGGGGACGTGGAGGTCAAGGCGATTGTGGATACAGCGGCCGAGGTCACCATTATCTCCCAGGAGATCCATCAACGGTTGAACCCACCACCCCAGGTGATACAACACATAACCTTAAGCACGGCGGGGAAACAAATGCACCTTACGGGAACACTGGTGGGCCCCATCTCCTTGCTGGTTGCGGGACGGGAATACACTGTGGGAGTGTATGTGGCGCCTATTGCAGACGACATGTTGCTAGGGCTCGATTTCATGAAAAGATACGGTGTTAGTATAGCCCTAGACAAGTCTCAAATGATATTACAGGGACAGGTGATTCCTATGAAGCTAGAGACGAAAGAGGAGCCTGACCCTAACCTAGCTCCGTGCATCGCTAAGGTAGCAGTGTCCCAATACACTGTTATCCCACCACATTCAGTGGCCAGGGTCAAATGTGAAATGGACAAAAGTATGCCCCAGTGTATAGTGGAGCCCCTGGAGGATGGGCAGGTGCCAGTGGTTCGCACACTCCATCAGGAGGGAGAATTCCTGAAGGTATGTGTACTCAACGTAACAGGGCAGAATATCACATTAAAGAGGCGGATGCATGTGGCCAATGCAGAGGCACTATGGGAAATTTTACCGGGGCCGGGCCCAGCGGTAGCAGCAAGGGCAGTGGGGAGGGTACGAAGTGAAACTCAAGTCAAATTACCTCCCCATATGATGACCATGGTACGGGACGTCGAGGAAACGCTGTCAGCAGAGCAGGCAAGCCAACTGACCCACCTGTTATGGAACTTCCAGGACATCTTTGCCACAAGTGAATTTGACCTGGGATCATTCAAGGAGGTATCTCACCACATCGACACGGGTAATGCAAGACCTGTGAAGCAAAAAATACGACGAACACCCGCATGCTTCGCACAGGAGGAGAAAGGACACCTTCAGCGCATGCTCGATGCGGGCATCATCCAACCGTCAGTATCTGAGTGGGCATCGGCACCAGTTCTGGTAAGGAAAAGGGACGCGTC